ATTTCAAAATAAAGTATATAGATTTACTATTTCTATAATACAATTCTTAAACTTTTCTGTTTGTAAAAAATAAAGCTTTTGATTTTCATGGTTATGGGATTTCATCAAAAGAAAATGAATGATTTAATATATTTAAGGAGTGTTTAAATCATTGGCCGAGTGGTTAGAACGTCTGCATTCTGACCATAAGACCCGGGTTCGAATTTCACCATTGCCGATTTGACAGGAAAGAAACTTCCAAATGTTATCGGACTGGAGAGGTTGCACCTTTGGAAAGTATATGAAAACCATACCACAGGTCGATCCAAGCCTTGTGAGTGAAATTGGGTTGACGTAACCCTTGGGGGCCGTCGAGATCTTGAGCGTGCTGGACTTGTTCAAATTACTGATCACGCTAGATAACACGCTCTTCCACAGAAACTGTAACTCAGCATAGTTGCACTATAAACCGCAGGTGGGCTCTGTGTGTGTTGAATAAACACAAAGGGCGCCTGAGCGATGGATTGTCTTGCCCTAGTAGACGGGTATCCCCGAATTCGAGTGGCCAGCTATACTAGGAACCTTGAACATCAATATATTTCTGTAATCGAGTTGCAAGGTGTTTTACGTCTTTACGATAAAACTGTAAAGGTTTGGGCACCAAGATATATTTCAATGTAGTTTCTGCATCGTTTATGCAACAGAATGTCTTTTGGCTTAAAAAAAAAAAAATTGTTAATATTCTTGAAAAGTGGTATTCAGGGAAATATGGTGAATATTTCAAAGTGTCGTATTCCAAGACACGGAGCTTCCTCTTTGTCATCATGACAACATGAGGTTGAGAATTGTCATAAAGCAAAATTGAACCACGACAATTAACCAGTACTTAACCTAATCACATGAATGTGCATTTCATCCAGTTAATGGCCGTAAACCTCGCCAGTAACGCCCTGGTTAGATTCTAGAAAGTTATCGTGAATAAAAACCAAAGATCTCCACCTCCGACAGTCAGCATAATATTCTATCGTTGCAATTACGGTTTTGTTCATCATAATCAATCCATCGATCTTTTACGATTGTCACAAAGAATCTATTTATGATCAGAAATCAATATTCGATCAAGACATGAATCATTAGAATGCCGCATATGCTGTATTGAACACACTTAAAAACGTCGAATTCTTTGAGCTCCTGTGGAACCCATTTATCGAGTTTCTTGCCCTTACCAATTTTCTTGAGATGGTCCCATATTGTTGAAATGCGGACACCCATTATCTGAGACATTTCTCTGACACTTTGACGCTGGTGTTGTTCGATTAGTGTTTTCAGGTGTTGATTGTAGAACAAACTAATATTATTAACGATCTATTTAATAAGTATATACGCTTGAGTAGACATCGATATTTTCAAAAAATTAAATTAATGTTTACCATCTAAAAAAAATGAACGTTTAATGAAAATATGTCTTTTCGTGTCTTACCATTCAGCGACGGGAAGCCATTATAGCTGTTTTAACCTACTTACGAAAGATCCACCTATTGGTGTAATATTTTGAAGTCTTTACCCTACACGCAAGACGCGAGTGGCCTGCTGGTGGCTAACTGTAGTCTACTGGCGGTCCGCAAGTGGTAACATTGCTGAGACAAACACCGTGGCGGCCTGACAGCGGGCCACCAGCGGTAAACAGTAGTGGCATGACACCGAGTGGCAGATTGGTGGCTTGCCTACTAAGTTCATTTTTTTTCCACCCAAAACAATCGATTTTTAAATCCGACATTATTTCTCATTTCTATAAACGTTATATTTAGTGGGCATCTGAGTTTCAGCAGATGACATGTTTTTTAGACTGTTAAATTAATAGCTACAAATGCTTCTTGTGGTTTCATGGTATACAAGGCTTGATTTGACATATAACGTTCCAAGCAAGAAAATAAAAATTGATGTATAAAATAGATTCTCTTGAAAAAGAAACGCAAAATACAGTGAATATTTTTTTTTCGATATGTATGATTAACGTTTGAAAAAAGAAATTTATTCTGTCTCACTCATTTTTGGGACCGAAATCCAAATACTGGCCGTTCTTTATATTCCAATTTCCAGTCATTTGCGATTTTCAAAGAGTCTAAAAGAAGTCGTTAAATAGGAAGCAGCCAAAAATAAAAGTTTGTTTATTTTCGAATGAATCAACCAATTTATTCCGAACTAAAATGTCGCTCTAAATGTAAACTCATTTCGATAACACACGCAAACACTCCCCTCCCCCTATATATATATATATATATATATATATATATATATATATATATATATATATATATATATATATATATATGAATAAATGCGAAATTGGAGCTGAATTCTTTCCACGAAAAAGGGTTTATATATATATATATATATATATATATATATATATATATAGTTTAACTTACAGATATTTTATCTATGTTTTGGAAGCTTTTTATAACAACGTTTACACAATTATACTCTATTAGAACAGAAATTTGTTAAATATTTATGAAACTGAGATAGATACATATAAACAAATTTCGACAGATAGATAGATAGATAGATAGATAGATAGATAGATAGATAGATAGATAGATTTTTAAAAAGACTGAGAGATAGATAGATAGATAGATAGATAGATAGATAGATAGATAGATAGATAGATAGATAGTGAAAAGACTGAGATAGATAGATAGATAGATAGATAGATAGATAGATAGATAGATAGATAGATAGATAGATAGATAGATAGATAGTGAAAAGACTGAGATAGATAGATAGATAGATAGATAGATAGATAGATAGATAGATAGATAGATAGAAATAAACTGCGATAGAGTGACAGATAGGAACAGTGTATGATGATAGATAGATAGATAGATAGATAGATAGATAGATAGATAGATAGATAGATGAGACTGAAATAGATAGATATGAACAAATTTCGATAGACAGATAGATCTATACATAGATAGAAGAGAATGAAATAGATATATATGAACAGATTTAGATCGATAGATATAAGATACTGCAATAGATACATATATGAATAGATTTCGATAGATAGATATGAACAAACTGAGATAGATAGATAGATAGATAGATAGATTGATAGACTGATAGATAGATAGATAGATAGATAGATAGATAGATAGATATACGTATATATGTATATAACATAACAATAAAATTTTTTATAAATTTATATATAAATACTGTTTTGAAAGAAAAGATATATGACTTTTTTCCAATTTGTCATACATCTTTATATATATATATATATATATATATATATATATATATATATATGGGGAGTGAGAGAGATAGTGAGATGAACTGATTAGACAGATAGAGAGCTGCAAAAACCAGGTATAGAAAGTGTGATATATAAAGAGAGAGAGAGAGAGGGAGAGAGATAGAGAGGGGGAGAGAGAGGGGAGAAAGGGGGGAGAGAGGGGGCAAGAACATATTGAGATAGACTTGCAGAGACTATGATAGATAGATAGATAGATAGATAGATAGATAGATAGATAGATGGGGGAGAGAAGAGAGAAACTTATGAAAAACCAGACATATACAGAGGTAGACAAGAACATATCGATATATTTTTGAAGAGACTATGATAGATATATAGATTTGGATGGTGTGGACTAGACTAGACTAGACTAAACTAATCTATCTATCTCAGTCTTTTTATTATCTATCTATCTATCTATCTATCTATCTATCTATCTCAGTGTTCATATCTATCTATCTCATAGTGTTCATATCTATCTATCTATCTATCTATCTATCTATCTATCTATCTATCTCAGTGTTCATATCTATCTATCTCATAGTGTTCATATCTATCTATCTATCTATCTATCTATCTATCTATCTATCTATCTATCTCAGTGTTCATATCTATCTATCTATCTATCTATCTATCTATCTATCTTATGCTGACGCAGATTATCAATGCTATGTAGAATTTCGTCCACCGACCTCTTTCTGACTCCCTTGAACCGTGAAATAGAAATAATCCTCCACACGCCAATAAACTAATTTCCGTCTCCAAGTCTTTCAATAAATATAAAAAAGAAAAAAAAAAACAAATTTTAATTGGATAAACAGTTTCGATAAGGAAAGTCAGCATCAACATAACACATATTCATTCACACCGAAAAGAATTCACATTCATCTCCGTGTGCAACATACCAAAACTTAGAGACGTGAAATAGATTACGTAAAGTTTTCCTTTAAATGAACTCCGACTTCAAACCTGAAATAAGTGAAATAAAAGAATCAATGATTTGCTTAAAGAAATTTGCAAGATTGGAGTTGTTAAACTGTGATGTGCCGATAATAGCTTATATACATACATATGCATATATATATATATATATATATATATATATATATATATATATATATATATATATATATATAAATTACGATAAACGTGCAATCAATTTACAAATACATGAACTATTCACAAAAACTAATGCAAAAGGTTAATGATTTAAATGGCGAGACATCCATCATCGCAAACAATTCAAATAATATACAAAAACCTCCGAATCCGTTATGAATGAAATGACCCTTGTTTATATAAATTTCTGCCGTATTAGTTCTTATTTTTACTACAAGCTTTCGTCTGTTCCTACAGACATCTTCAGGTATAGAATAGATGTTGTTCTTGTTTTTTCTCTTAGTAATAAGAGGACAACGAAAATATATGTATTGTTGTATCCGAAAATGCTATTGAAAATGAGTTATTGTTTTTGGAACGCGCAGAAGCAACGCTGAGTTTGATTTTAAATTTTTAAAGGTTGTGCGTTCATATAAAATATTTTTACCAGTAAAAAATTTGTTCATCACCATATTTTATAGTGTAACACATTACTTATCATCTCTCAATTGCGTCTTTGTCTTTGGGCAGAGTGCCCTCAGTGGCGGCTCCGTCATAGGACAGAGCAACAAATGAGAAAAATTATGAAAGAGCGCGGGGGTTGCGGGTAAATTTTGTACCTAGCCCGGGTGTACACGCCCGTGCTCCTAACATTAAACCGACCTTGTGTCATAACCGGACCTCGTGCAGAGTTGAGTAAATACAAATTGCTCTCTCGAGTAGTTTATAACACCCTATTTATCATCTCTCAGTTGCGGCTCTTCTCAAGGGACAAAGTCGCAACCGAGGAAAATTATACTGAGAGGTGCCGGCCCTGGGGAACAGCTGCCCGAGTACGTGCCCTCTCATTACACCAGAGGTAGGGATGAGTACTCGCACTGAGGCTAGCGCAATCGACGTTTGCTTGGGCTCGGTAAATTTTTATTCCTAGTCCGGGTGTATGCGCTCGGGCTCCCCACATTAAACCGACCTTGTGTCACAACCTGACCTCGTGGTTCTTGAGCAAATACAAATTGCTCTCGAGTAGTTTGTAACAGGTTTATTATCATCTCTCAGTTGTGTTTCTGTCTTTGAGTCGAATGTCCTAAGGAGTGAGCCGTCAAATGATAAAATCGCAGCTGTGGAAAATTATACGGCTAGGTGCCGGCCTCGGGGAACAGCTCTCAACATTAAACCGACCTCTAGTCACAAAGCGACTTTGGGATGGAAGGGGGGGGTCGAGTAAATACCAAATTACTATAAAGTACTTTGTAACACGTTTATTTATCATCTCTCAGTTGCGTCTCTGTCTTTGGGCACATACGCTTAGGGGTGGCTCCCTCTAATGACAGAGTCGCAAGAGAGGAAAATTATACTGACAGATGCCGGCCCCGAGAAGTAGTTCCCCTCCCCTTCTAACTGCACTAGACAGAAGGATCGGTGCTCGCACCCAGGCCAGCGCAACCGACGGTTGCGTAGTTCGTGTAATTTTTGTTTCTAGCCCGTGTGTACGTGCTCGGGCTCCCCGCATTAAACCGACCTTGTCTCACAACGCGACTTCGTGTGAGTCGCGTAAATACCAAATTACTATAAAGTAAAGCTTGTTTTTTTAATCTCAGAATTCGTGAGAGAATTGAACTCCATTTTCGCATTTATTCATATAGATTCCATGATATAGGTTTTACTTAATTAGCCATTATGTTTCTCTAACTCTTGAAATGTTGGATGTATAACTAATTTTAATTTCTATTTCTCTATCTTTACACTATATTAATTAATAAATAAAATGTCCCCTGCTCTGTCACCCATGAAGTAAAAATATTTTTTTTTAGCGTTTCACCACAAGCAAGGCGGGAAGCCACTAGGACGCAAGAGGTTACAGAAACTTTGGAGCAAGATCAGATAGGAGTGATAGAAGAAAGGATGAGGAGAAGGGTAGTGGATAGATCAAGGCAACTGGAGATGTCGATTGACATTACATTTGAATAGCTGGAGATTATAGCTCCCAGGGAAACTGGAATAGGGAAGGGAGTTCCACAGGCGAGAGGTGCGAGGCATGAAGCTATTGGAGTAGAAGAGACGGCTACATTTAGGAGTTTCGACAGTGAAGGGGTGAGAGCGGGATGCCAGCCTCGTATGCCGCTTGAACTCATGAAGTCTGGGAACCAGCGAATGCAGCTCCTCGGAGCAATTACCATGAAAGTATTTGTAAAAAAGACAGAGGGAGGCAAGGGCACGTCTGTGAGAGAGCGACTGTAGACGAGATGCCAGAGCAGGGCCAATTATATTGCATATCCGCCTCTGGAGCCTATCAAGAACCCCGAGGCAAACAGAAGGGGCTCCAGACCATATATAGCAGCAATACTCCATTCAAGGGCGAATGGTTGATTTGTAGATCTGGAGGATCGATTCCGAGGAGAAAAATTTCCTGGCGCGGCACAGGGAGCCAATTTTCCTTGCGGTGGACGAAGCAATTGACTCAATGTATTTGTTCCATCTCAGGTCAGCCGTCAACGTGAGACCGTGCAGCCGCAGAGAGTTGCTCTCGAGAAGTTGAGCGTCAGACATTCTAATGGAGGGCAAAGAATGATCTCTGTGGTGATTAATAGAGAGCAGTTTTGTTTTTGAAGCATTAAAGTTGACCAGCTAATTCCTACCCCAGTTCACAACCGATTGGAGGTCCTTTTCGAGACGCACGGCCAGGTTAGTTTTGTCAACGACACTAGATTTGTTTTTGAGGCAGGAATAAATTGTTTGTACGGGAAATAAGCATCTACGTACATTAAATCGTCTTTAAATTAAGTGGTAGCAGAAGAATTATCATTGAACTTTTAAAAGGTAAGCATAAACATTAATTCAATACTTAAATGCAGCGATCAGTTTTGAGTCCTTCTATAGTTTATTAATGCCTATCGCATCTACTCCTTCCTATTTATTGTGATGATGGCCAAACCAAGTGTCCTAGGAGCTAGCTTAAATGCCGCCCAATAGGACAGCTTTTAAGCTAGCTTAAAATTTTAGGTTGCTTAAAATTTTAAGCTATCTGCATTATTATTATTATTATTTATTTGCCTTCTAAGAGAGTACAATACTTAAATGCAGCGATCAATTTTGACTTCTTCTGTAGTTTATTAATGCCTATCGAATCTACTACTCCTTAGATGATGGCCAAACCAAGAGTCTTCCACAGGAGCTAGTTTAAATGCCACCCATTAAAAAAAAACAAAAAAAACGTGCACTGTAATTTTGGATACAAAAGGAAAATAAGAGTTACTCCCCTTGAACCATGAAAACAACTATAATGGGTAGTATAATGTTTTAATATATATATTTAACCTCGCATAATCTGGCAAACCTGAATCTGAGCTCAACGAAAATCGTTCCCTGCGCCTAACATTTCTAGGGCTTTTGAATGAGCTATGAATCATTGAACTCGGACCAGTGGGAACAGAGGAGTTGCTTGGATACATATACACACACATAAACACACACACATATACTGTACTTTATATATGCAAGATAGTTTCAGGAGAGAAAAATTGTCTAACACGACACAGTGAACCAAAACAGCTGACCTAGCAATGGATTCAATATAATTTTTCCACTGTAGGTCAGCCGAGAAGTTTAGCCCGAGAAGGCACAAGATGTCACCCTCCTGGAGGTTAATATGGTTACATGATTTTCGCTTCTTAGTTCAATTGCGAATTTTTCCATGGGTAATTTCCTTGTTTTAATATGAGTTCTGAAAAAAAAAAAGAAATAAAAAGTACAAAAATCCGACATATTATGACATTTTGAAATACCGAGGTGATTTTTGGGACATCCTGTAGTTAACATCTTTGACTGTTGATTTCTCTTCTTACAACTGATATTTAACCCTTTTTTCCCGTTTATCATTAAGACAGGAATCATTGAAATCGGTCAGTGGAAGCGGAGGAGTTGACTGCACAGACACACGCACAGACACACGCACAGACACATACATATACAATGTACTTTATATCTAAGATTTATTTAAAACTAGCATTTTTGATACTTTTAATGGGATTTGATTTAGTGTATGACAGAATTAATTGACAAAATTCTTAATTTAGTTTTTGAAAGAATTACTTTATGTCTCTTATATAAATACCATTAATCCACAATTCCACAGTTATTTAGAATTTATCAAACATTTTTTTTTATTTGCTGGCATTGTCTCTTTTAGATTTTATCATCTGATAT